TTCACAACTGTGAAAACGCGCCCAGCCCTAGATGAAATATGGGTGGTCTTGGACCTCGAGCCAAAACTCACAATCGTCAATTTTGTATGAATGCAGATGAGAAGCCGCCCGAGTTCTACCATGAGGAGTTACGTGGGCGCAAGTGGATGATCATCATAGCGAAGGATTCCCACACTGTGCTTTCAGGCGGCTCTATACAGAGAATAAAATCGTCGCTGTCGGTGTATATTGCCTGTTCCTCGGCAATCAGATCGACAAATGGATGGTACCACACAACTACAAGAAGGCCACCGTTGCTCGTCATAGTGCCAGACCCCGAGTAACTGTATTGTAGGGCAGTGCTGGGACACAAACAATACTGAGACCTGGGTTCAATCGCCCCATTCGCCCGACATAAAGCCGAGCGATTCCAATTGTTCTCGTCAGTCGAGAGTACTCTCCGACGGCAAACGCTACAATGTTTTGTCATTCGCCGAAATTGGCATCAACAGCAATTTACTCGCACTTGTTGAAAAATCGAAGGTACCAGAGGTCCAAACGCTTTCGGGGCCTGGGAGCGGGTCATTGGTGAAGGAGGGATCTACTTAACTCGAAGCCAAAATATTACTTTTTTATCTATTTTTCTCTTCGTTTTATATGAATAAAATCTTGGTCACTTTTGAATGGGATGACCTAATACAAGAACAAAAGTCGTTAATCTGACAGAAGGCTAGAGGAACTGATTGCGATTTGTGAATTTACTCGGCAATTCAGTTGTCAGTGTCAGGGTACAGGCTCATGATGGTTGATGTTGTAAGCACAGGATGACTGCTGAAATTTGCATTTTACAGTTATTTCTTTCCAGGCCCGTGGGTGAACAACTGTGTAGGCGAATTCAACCAGAAGTTTTTCTTACAATTCCTGTTTTACGTTGGATTGTCCAGCTGTTACACAGTGTTGTAAGTGATTTTGTTCTTCATGTTCAGGTATTGTTTAGACGTTTGACTCGCTGAGGGTCGCATTGATGTGGGAGAATACGGACGAGCTATGGGATAGGATCTTTTTGTGGTGAGGGAGAAAGAACTTTGCATCCCAATGAAACACATAGAAAGTGATTGCAAGTCTCTAAAAACATCCACAAGGATTGCCGAGTTTCTTTCACATCAAGAATGCGAGCAGCAAATGATTTAGCCGGTTTGCGATTGAGAAAATGTTGTGGGAAGTAGCCAATTCACTGAGACTTGAAACAGTTTGAGTTCGTGACATTCTCGGCTGACGGGAATTATTTAGAGTAATGGTTTTATCCTGGGTTTACGATGACGAGTTTGCCTCTACAGGAATGAAAGGACCTTTCGGAGAAAACGCCCACCACGCTAAAGTGTATGTCCTTGTTTGCTTTTTTGCTACTCCGACTTTATTATATTACTGCTAATGGGTGTGTTGCAGCTTGCACTCCATATTCTTATCCATGGAAAGCGCCCTTTTTGGAATGTTTGTGGTGGCGGTCTCATGCGATCAGGTTCCGTTTTACTTTGAGAAACTATATACACTTGTACCTGATTCTTCTGCTTTAGCTATAGTGGCACTGAAAATATAGTTTACAGTTAGGAGCGATCTTTTCCGAAGAAACTGCAGTTGAAGCCGTTCAGCGTAGAACGAAGCAGACATACAAGAGAAGTCGCCGTCGAGGAAGGTTTTCACTTCTCAAGGAAGTTTGTGGGGGAGGTGAGAAATTTTCAATTCTAGCGAGTTTATGCCGGGATCATTTGACGGGGTGGAGTTTTCGTGTCTCCTGTAAGATCTAGATGAGACTGCACTCAATTCAAGTATTTACCTTCAACATGAAGCTTCTTCTTACATAGCTAGTATTGAAGTGGACGTCAGAAAACCTGAGCTGCCCAGCTACTCGCCCAAGGAGGTCTATCAACCCTAAAGACCAGTTCCCGCGGTCAAGCGGTGCTGCCCGAAATGCCTCCGTGCACTTGGCATCGTTGCCGCCGCATTCGGGCAGAGAATATACAATTTTCATCCCTCGAAACGGCGAGATAAGAAGCTAGAGATGCGCAGTTACTGCAGCCATTGAAATCACGAGCGGGATCGCGTGTGCGCATTGCTTTTACCGTCGTACGGTGATTTCCTGTGCTCTGCATTGCAGGGAACTGGCTGCACGTCGGAATCTGCTGATTGGGCTTGCCGACGTCCGACAAACTCGTCCAAGGTGCCCACTGCTAAGGGGGCTCCGTACAAAGTATTCCCAAGGTTTTTTTCCTTCTCTGCTGGGGAGTTCCTTACGTGCTACTTGAGCATCTGCTACGCTCAACTCTTGGTGGCGAGTGCTGTCTTTGATGACCTTAAAGACACATGGCACGATCACACATAGTTTGGGTGTGCGTGACTATCACCCCCCCGCCTTTCCCCCCACGTGAAGTCGAAGCGTAGCGGTTTCTCCGTCCGAACATGAGCAGGAATGGAGATCGAGGACCGTGGGACACGTACCTCCATGCTCCGCCCAAAATGCAGCTTGCGGCGCAGATTCCCGATCCCGCTTATACTAACAGCCATCCGCGCGGCGCGTGTCGCGTGCAGCACTTTTGGCGCTTTGCCAGGTCGTGTAATTACGCTTCAGAATACAATTAAAAATATAATATAGCAATAATAATACATAAAAAAATATAATAATATAATAATAATATAACATAATAAAATAATATAATATAATAGTA